GCTGCTTGGAAAGTTGGTTTAATGATGGACTGGATCACATGGCTTGAGTCCTGAACAGAAAAGGTGATCACATGCTTCCGTGTTGGATGAAGAAGAAGAGAGGACGAAATGCTGAAAGTTCCTGGATTTATACTCTCTGTTCGGCCCCACCTCTCTGTTTCCTGTTCCGCTGTAAGAAAATGCCGTGCAGGGGCAACTCTCTAGGCTGTGTTTCGAGTCTCAAGTTTGGTTGAGTTCTCAGATGCCATGGGGTGAGTTGGGTAAAGGGCTAATACTATCATGCCTTAATCCCATCATCCTGGAGCTGAAGGGGAGAACTCTTTATTATGTAGAATAGACTGGTTTGGGCATCTTAATGGCCCATTGACAAAGGGGAATGGGCAGGAAGCTGCAGGGAGCTACTTTGTCTTTAAAACATGTTTCTCTCTTTGCACAACCAGAGAAATATAATATTTTGCCTCTTCAATATTTCCTAAGATATTTCATTTTTCTAGGAAAGTGATGGGTGCTAACTTCCTACGGCCATAAACCACTGATTCCAACTGTCTGTGGCTTTTACTTCAGACTAGGTGATTAACTATGATCTGCTATATACAATGCTAGCAGAGTGCAAATTATCTCCAAATCATCTTGACTATGGCTTAAAATGCTATGCAAATCCAGTCAGTCAATCTGTAAATTTTAATCAGGACTATGGGAACAGGCTTTTCCTGTCATTTCTTTATTGTGCCAATTTCTAGTCTGAAATTATCCCAGTGTTATGTAGACCAGGGATGTCAAACTTGATTTCATTGAGCGCTGCATCAGGATGGTGTTTGACCTTGGGGGACGTGGGCGTCGCTAGGGTGGGCATGGCCAGCTTGATGTCACTTGTGTCAGGGGCGCCTGTGGTGGTCAGAGTGCTCTGCCAATGAAAATGGGTTCCCAAGCTCAGTTTTTGGCTGTGATGGCCACCTACAACCTTCTGCCAGTGAAAATGGAGGTCAAGAGGGCTACACACAGCCCTCCTGAGCTCCATTTTTGCTGGCAGAGGCACTATGGACCTGCCCTTTGCTATTTTCATAGCGGCCCCATGGCCCAGATCTAAGCACCCCATGGGCTGGATTCGGCCCCCAGGCCTTGAGTTTGACACCCATAATATAGACCCTATCTGTTTTATGAGGCATTGGGTAGCTCCAAAAGGAGAAATTTGGATCAGATAATGACATAAATTATGGTTCGTCACAAGCAGATGTTCAGACTGAATTTGGCATTTTTATCCACCTATCAAAAATCATTTTTGAATTTTATGTATTTGAATTTTTTTAGAATCTAATACATAGTATTCTTATCGCATCACTACTGTGGTCTCAGGTTGAAACAAGCCTCCTTCCTTGTAGCTATATTGGCTTTAAAATGCAGAAGATCTTTCTTTCACAACTAGCACGGTGTGATGGCTCAGCAATTAAGGTCCTGGGCTTAAATGAGCTGGAAAGCTGAAAGCCCAGGTTCGAGACCCAAGCATCACATGATGGGGTAACTCCCCGTCCCTGTCCCGTGTCATATCAACCTAGCAGTTTGAAAGCATGCAAATGAGAGTAGATAAACAGGTACCACTTCGGTGGGAAGGTAACAGCGCTCTGTGACATCATGTTGGCCACATGACATGGAAATGTCTTCAGACAGCATTGGCTCAATGGATTTGAAATGGAGATGAGCACCCACTCCCATATTCAGCAACAACCAGTGGAGTAAAATCTACAAGGACTCATTTATTGCTACTCTCACAACTAGTATTCCCACTTTCTCCTACCATTTACAACTGTGGATTTGGGGAATGAATGCTTTCTTCAGTTTGAAGAAAGTAGATTTAGGAAATATGCCTATTTGTACGAAATTAATCACACTCTATCCTGAATAATTGAATCAGTGCTGAGATGCAGGCTGTTCTGCAGACAGTAGCCTCACTTTTGTGCAAATTCAGGCCATGTGGTTTGTTTAAAGTCATGGTGATGCAGTGTTTACAATGCAGTACTGCAGGCTAATTCTGCTAGCAGTTTGGCAGTTCAAATCTCACCAGCTCAAGGTTGACTCACCCTTCCATCTTTCTGAGATCGATAAAATGAGGACCCAGATTGTTGGGGAAAATATGCTGACTCTGGAAACTGCTGAGAGACGGCTTATAAAGCACTGCTTGTAAGTGCTATTGCTATTAAATTCCAGGATGTTATGCAAATCCCCCCCCAAATATGTTAATTGAACAAAGCATGATGATGTTGGCTTAAATGTGTCATGCAAACACAGTCTTTAGGTTTGTTTTTATTTACAGGTGCCCAGATTCCATATGGCAGTCAGTTAGGCGGTCCAGCTGCTGCTGCTGCTGCTGCCTCAGCCAAGTATGGAGGTGAGTCTCCAACCTAAGACAGAATGAAGAGCAGTATTCCTCTGCCATTCACTGGCAACCGAACAAATCTTTGTGCAGCTTGACATTATCTAAGTGAACTTTGCCAAGTGATTAGTAAGCTTTAAGTACCAAAGATATGACCTCAGAATGGTTGAGCAGAATTACATTGACTGTTGTTCTGATTTTACGAAGCCTTCTATCATGGCTTCTTCCAAAAACAATCATATTCTTTGAGAAAGGCAAAGAGAATTTTTTTGTGGAAGAGCCATATATCTCCTCAAAATTCTTTCTTAAATGTGATGTCCTTCCAAAGTACTGGACAGAAAGTCACTGTGGATGATGGAACTTCTGTTCTATTAGCAAAGTACCACATGGGGAAAGCTGTCGTGGAGCTTCATATCATTGGAGAGAGGGAAGGCCTGTTTCATTTATTTGGAACTAAAGGTGTAGTTGTGTGAGGGAAGGGATTGTCTCTGTCCCAGTTAATTTTCTGACTGCCATCTCTGTTACAGGTGCTGGGCAAAATCCATACAGAGGACAACCACAACAACCAGAAGCTACCGGCCTGGGAAATTATGGTGCTGGCAGATATGGTGTGTGTAAAGCAGAATCAATTGTAGTGGGATTACTAATACGCTATACAAGAATAGAAAAATAACATAGATTTAAATCTAATGCTAACTAACTCAAGGTTTAGTCTTTTTAAAGACCCCTTTTTAAGATTTTTAGAAAGGTATTTTGCCTGTAAACAGATTAGAAAATTTGTAGGCAAAGAGGTTTCTTCTAGGTAACACTTTTAAGAAATTGAAATGATTGTCCATACATGACATATCCAAATATGTCATATTTGCGGGTAGAGTTATACTTCATCATCAGCATGGGGAAGAAATCCAACACATAAAGGTGAAAAGGATTATACCAATTGAATTCTTCTTTCTTCTTCAAAGAAAAAAAAACCCAATAGAGTGGCATTCCTAGAAGATGCATTAAAGAGTTGTCTTCTTAGAAAGCTGAAGTGAAGTTCAGGAGTAGATTGCCTGGTGCAGAACATTCATTTCTTTGTAAACCACATCTCTTGCACTGAATGTTTCCTTCTAGGAGACCCCAGCCAGCTGCCATATGGTGCTCAACCTGCTGGTCTTGGAGTAGATGGTAAAGCAGGACCATTTGGTAAGACTATTATGGAACATTTTTCTAGTTGTTTTGTGATTGTTTTACAGAGTTCTAAATTATCTTTGATGAATCTCCTTCGCCTTGGTATGCATTTTGTTTCAGAGGCCTGAATCAACTTACGGTTTAATACTTTCAATATGGCATGGTGGGACATAACAATTTCCTTTTCTATACTGGTAAAATTACCAACACTGTCAAACTATCTACTGACTGTATTACTATTATTATTCACTTCCTTCCTAGTACTTATCTCTTTCCTAGTATCCATCTCTTTCCACCTATGACTATAACCATGTTGCTTGTATCTTTAAATTTTAAATTTTATTTGTTTTCTAGTATAATTTGACTGCTTATTAGTAACCTATGACACTGTTCTGTATCTTATGATTCTTGATGAATGTATTCTATTTTATTTTTCTTTTATGTACATTGAGAGCATATGCACCAAAGACAAATTCCTTGTGTATCCAATCACACTTGGCCAATAAAGAATTCTATACTATTCCATTCTATTGGTTAGTACAAGCGTGATCAGAGCCCCACTTAAATAGGAACAATTTGTCCCCCAGGGCCTCCTTTTCTCACCTGCTGCGTGAAAAAAAAGAAGAAAAAAAACAGCATTTGGTTTCTTGTAATAACCCCAAAAGTTGGGAGACTGTGTTTCCGCCCTCTTCTCCTTACTTCCAGGATTGGGCTATATGGTTACTCCTTGCCAATATGGGCTTTGGAAGGAGGAAGCTCCTCTTCCCACTTAGAAAGATAATGCTGCAGGCCAAGTCTGCTATGTTTATTGATTTATTTTATTTATTTAGTTTGTCAAACATATAAAAGATAACAGGTATAAGTATAAACATAAATGTGAACACAGTAAATGGCTACGAATAAATGGAGGTAATAGGACAGAGATGATAGGCAAGCTAGTGCACCCCCTACCGACCTCTTGGGAATCGAATGAAGTCAATAGTAGACAGTCTAAGGTTAAAATTATGGGGGTTTAGGGATGAAACCACGAGCCAAGTAGTGCATTCCAGGCATTGACCACTCTGTTACTGAAGTCGTATTTTCTGCAATGGAGTTTGGAGCTGTTTACCTTGAATTTATTGTATTGCAAGAAACCTTTGTAAATCTGACACCAACCTCAAAATCCCTAGATTACATCTGGTGAGTCCTGTGTAATGTGAAAATTTCTTGTATCTGTGGAATTAAGAAATTCACTTTTCTGCTTTTTGGTCTCTTTCACCCAGGTGGGCCACAAGTAGGATATGAACCCCAGCCTGCCAAGGCGATAGGGTTGGATGGTAAGAAATTGAATCTTCTACAAGTTAGGATGGAAATAGGAATTTAGCAATAGTTTATTGTGAAAAGGCGAAACTATTCATTATTCATGTCTCCCTGAGAATCTCAAAGTGTGAGTGACCAAGTTATAAAACACTTAACATATGATTGACATAATAAAGGAGCACCAATTTTATTCCTGCATGTTTCTTTTTCTTTTCTTTCATGTCCCAGGGCAACATTCTCAAATTTCTGAGGAGCTGTTAGGCTAGCCTGTTAAAACAAGCCCAGAAAGAGAGATTGTTCTGCTTTAAATGAATGGTGTATTATACTAAGATAGGGTTCATTTATGTTTTCTTGAATAAACTGCAACCATCTAAGTTTAAATAAACTGCAATCACCTAAGTACACTGCTATAAATCTTGATTTGCAAACCAAAGTGGTTGAGTATATTAAGCCAGGGGGAATCCCTAGCTAACAGAATGTAACTTCTGGTTGCAGATGTGCAACTTTTGACATCACCTTTGTTAAAATACAATTTAAATGGCAAAAAGGCTAAGCTTAATGTGCCCATTTTCTTTCAAAAGAAATAAACTCTCCCACCCAAAAGAACTGCAAATCATCATTTCAACCATTCCACTCCAATGCAGATCTTGAAAATTAGAAATAAACAGATACACACAAATGATTGTATCTGCATAAAGCTTTCACTCTGCTCACAATTGTGTGATATCTTTAGACGACTAGTTGCTGTTGACAGAACAACTCAGAGAAGGCCAGTCTGTTCAGTATTCCTTAAGAGTTGTATTAGATATGGAAATATACTGTATTGCCTGAATTGGATACAGTTGATGAATAGTTCTCAGCTTGCCAGCAGAGTTTCCCAGGAGACTAAAATATACTTTCATTTTAGATGCAAAACATAATTTCTGTATAGATGATTGAAGGTCATTATCAGTAAGTAGTGGTCAATACCAGTTTCTAGATTCCCATTCCAATGATCCAAATTTACAGGAGGGAAGCATAGTGACAGGGCATTTGATGTGATTTTCTATGTTGCACGTTTCTCCCTTTCTATTTCTCCATCCTTTGCAGGCAATGGAAATGGACTAGGATATTTGAACACTAGAGACCCTCAAGCTAATGGACTGGGGGCAGGTAAGGTTAAGTGTGAACCTTCACTCTACCCCCAGAAAAGACTCTTAAATCTTTATCCTGCTGCTAGTTATGTAATTAGCATTAGAATGTTCTGACAGTCCTAATCTTAATCTTCTCCCTTTGTCACATGATACTAGCTTTATCTCACCCTAGCACATGATTTAAGCAGTCTTGTGATTTTAACACTAACTCAGCTAAAGCCAACACAGAACCATGATGGGCAATGGGCATTTTCTGTAATATCCGCCCCCTTTTAGGTGGGTGTATTTATTTGACCAGAACAGCTTTGATCAATGGATCCTGGAAAAAACCTTATATTTTAGGTGAGATGCTATTAGCTGCTCATTAGCCAATCAGCAAATATCCTCACTACTACCGGTATCAATAAGGGCATTTCAGTAGCCAGTCAGAGTGGTATTAAGAACCAAAATAGCACATCAGTATCTCATCAGGACATCGATATAAAAAGACCATTGGCTGAAGTAAGTTAAGGAGCTGTGGCGGTGCAGTAGTTAGAATGCAGCAGGCTAATTCTGCCGGCTGCTAGCTGCCTGCAGTTTGGCAATTTGAGTCTGACCAGCTCAAGATTGACTCAGCCTTCCATCCTTCTGAGGTTGGTAAAATGGGGACCCAGATTGTTGGGGGCAATAAGCTGGCTCTGTAAACTGCTTAAAGAGGGCTGGAAAACATTGTGATGCGGTATATAAATGCTATTGCTATCACCAGGGAGGAAAGGCTCATAGTACCATCAAAGATTATCTTGCCTCTTCCTTGTGCTTAAATTTTTCCTCTTCTTTTATCTGGCAGCTGGGTATGGTCCCCTTGCTGCAGGGCAAGCTCCAGGAGGATATCGCAGTCTGCCAGGCCCTGGACAGCCACTAGGAGGATATCGTAAGTGGCACCACAGTTCTGTTTTCCCATCTTTTTTGCTTTTTTTGCTAATATCCTAAAACTTTAGGTTGGCCTAAAATAAAGAACTTCCAGAGTTTTAGAATGAGCAATTACTTTTCAAACTATGCGTCTGGGTAATCCTGGAGTCTTTCAATATAAGTTCCTTAAGGACTGTATTCTTCAACATTTTTATATCTAACTGCTTCAAATGAAAGTAATCACCAAGCAATTTAGTAAAAATGAATTCATAATAATAAGATGGTATTAAACAAAGTATTTTTCTTTAAAAGTTTTAGTGTAATAAGAAAGGAAACTTCATGGTGATCAGTAGGAATTCCCTTTGGAGAAAGCAAGTGTTTGTCACTTAAATAGAAGCATACTAAGTATTTACTCAGTGGTACTTCCTAATCTAGGGATTGTTGTTGAGAAGGCTTGTTTTATATAGTTACCTTCAACATTTCGGAACCCTAAATTTATGGTCTAGTTTAAGGCACCAGGCTAGAAACCAGGAGATTGAGTTTTAATCTGTCTTGAGGGATGAAAGCCAGCTGGGTGATTTTGGGCCAGTCACTCTCTCTTAGCCCAACTCACTTCACAGGATTATGGTTGTAGGGAGTGTAGGAAGAAGGAGTATTGTGTACAGTATGTTCACCTCCATGAGTTATTTCTAAAGTAATAAAGATGGAATAATTAAACCCTACAGATTTAGACATAATAAATAAATCCTTCTATCCATCAGCACTCTGCAACCAGCTATATAGCCAATGAAACAGTAAAAACTAGAGCATCATACTCTTATTTGGAAAAATAGAGCATCATACTCTTATTTGCCACCACCATTCCTTAAAAATGTGGGAACATAATTAGGAAATAATCAATTTACAAACACTTTCAAGTACAGCCCTAAACAGAACACTTCATGATTAGCTAATCAGGATGTCGTGGAAGCATGAATGATAGGACCCCAATCTGATAGTATTCAAGCTACCATTAAAAGCACTTCAAACTTCTGTAACTGAGAAAGATTTGAAAATGTACTTGGCATGTCATTGGGAGATCTATATGGCCAGAATTGAACCCTGTTTACATCTTGTGCGCTCCTAAATATGGACTGGACATCTCTGTAGTCATCCTGGGCTTTTTTGGAAGGCAAATCCCGAAAGAACAGCTTTCTAAAGGAAGGTTCTCTTCCCTGAACATTTTCCTACTTCTATGCTGCCTTCTGAAGATGATATAATTCCATCTTACAAACAGTTTTAGATGTTTTAATTGCTATATGTATTCTTTTTTCTCCCTTTCAGATATTATTTTTAACTGAATGAAAATTTCAGAATCATGGTGACTTAGCCCTGCCCTTAGCACAGCAAAGCAACCATCTTAAACTCAGAATAGAATAGAATGCAGTGATTCACTTAAAAACTATAGCAAGATTGGTTGTAAAATGGAGCAAAACTCACTTTAAAACTGTCTTGCTTAGCAATGGAAATTTTGAGCTCAATTGTTGTCATAAGTCAAGGACTATCTGTGTAACGGAATATCCAGGGCACTTCTAAGTAGCACTGTTTCCATTCTGCATTCCCAGAAAATTGCTTTGAAACTGGCTGTGCAAATTGCCTTCATAAATTCAAACTTTGGAATGCATGAGCCAAACAGGGCCCTGCCCCAATTTATTATGGGTCCTACATCATTTCTACTGCACTAAAACCCAGATTCTGATGGTGAGAAAATAGCACATCATTCCTCCAGCATCTGTCTCTATGGGTGCACATTGGTACAGATATATCTGTTGGGAAGGGAAATAATGCCTGCTAATATACAGCATGAACAAATCATTGAAGTTTACCTATGGGACAGAACAGGGTTATCAAACTCAAGGGGGGCGCATCTGTCCTGCGATGTGGTTGGATCTGGCCAGCAGGGCCATCCTGGTCTATCCAATGCGAAGAGGAAAGATTACCAATGTGGCTTCGGCCCGGTCTACCCAATACAAAGAGGAAACATGCCAGCAGTTTTGGGAGTGATGTAAAGCTGGCTATGCCCACCCAGTTGGCCATGCCCATCTCCCCCTCCCCCCAAGGTCAACCACAGCCCTGTGGCCCTCAATGAAATTGAGTTCGACACCTCTGGGATAGACGAAAGACCAGCCTGGAGCAACAAAATCCCTTCATCATTCCACACAAGAGAGAAGAAAGAAAAATGCTAGTATAGACTCACATCCCCATTCAATGTTTCCAGGACATGTTTATGCTATGATCGGATAGACATTGGGAAAATATGATTAAAATTATCTGGCTTCATCTTTTGGAGTGCTGCAGTTTGAACACAGTTATAAAACAGTCCATATTAAAGTTTACTAAATAATAAAGTTATTGCTTAGAATTACATAGCGAAATATTGTCAATCAAGAATATGATGTTAATTATTGGTGGGGTTTTTTCTTTTGGTTTAGGAGGGAAGGAATCGAAGTACGGAATGAATGGATACATGGGAAATGGCTATAGAGGTATGATTTAAGAAGATGACTATTGCTATTGCTATTACTAACAGAAATCTATTATATATTTCAGCATCATTTGAAGAAAATAATGACATATTATTGCCTGTTTAAAACAACTGTATTTGTGCTCTTGACTATTTTGGTTTATTTAAAAAACTGCACTGGGTTATGGGACTATATGAAAGGAAGTAATTGTGAATGTTGGGGAAGTGGCTTCCTAGTTAATTATGTGGGGAATAGGACAGACATTTCCAAAATCATCTCATGCTGTCCCGCATTTAATCTCTGTAAATGGCAATGCTGGAAAATAAAATAATGGCTGCCTTTGTCTTCACTTTTTCCTAGGTCGCTGCTCTTCTGGAAAATGCTGAAAGACAATACTGTTCTTCAGAACTTCCTACAGCAAGATCTGACATCTAGACAATCTTTGGTGCTACGTTTAAAGACCAACAACTGCATTCCCAATATAAATGGCTGTGTCTTTTTCCTTCTGTATGTTTTATTTTGTCATTAGAAATGTTTCATTTTTTTAAAAAAAGATTGAAAAACATTGCATGTTAGTTTTTAAAGCTTTGGTCAACAATATTTTCCAAGGACTAATACTATGTTTGTGACCATATTACACAAAGTTTGAGAAGCTAGAAACTGCTTTCCCCCACCCCCTCAAGACATACCCTGTGAATTCCACAGATTAGGAGGCAATCTAGCGATGTTTTTCATCTAATTATGTGTCTGGAGGGCCAGACCCCAATGTCTTTTTACATAAGAATAAATCCACCATTCTCAATGTCTTCCATACTTATGGTGTCCTTGTTTGCAAAAACAAACTTTGTATATTTGTGTGTTTGTTTGTTTGTTTTCAAAAATCCCACTGAATATCTTCCATTGCTGCAGTTTCCATAAAAACTAAGTATATTATGATTTTGATGCTTTTCTCATGCTAAAATTGATACTATGGAATCTAAAAATTGATTTAAAAAATAAGTTGAAAATATGGAAGAATTTTGGCATCTTCAGATCAATTATTGGATGATAAATCGTTATTTCTTAACTAAGGATATTATTTGCTTACATCATAATTTGAACCATTAACATTTTCAGCTTCAGAGATACTTAAATGATTAGAAAAGATGATTACATTTTATGAGATCAATAAGTCCATAATTAGTCTTTATACATAGTTTATTAATTAATCATTTTGATATGCACATTTTAAAAAGGAATTGGAGATTTTATCTAAACAATAGGAAACTGTCTTAACCTTTGTATCAAAAATGTCAATACGGTCAATCTAATTTACAGAATATTTACAGAAACATTTCATACTTTTTTACCCCACTGTATTTGTACAGAAGAGGAATAGATAATAAGAAATTTCATCATGGTAGAGATGAAATGCTTCATTAAAACAGGTTTTTCTAATGTTCTAAAATGTTTATAATCTGGGAATAAGTCATTATACATGAATTTATGGCTGAGACAGAATTTAATACTTTCATACAACTATATTCTTTTGATCAATATACCTATTATTGCCATATACACTTACCCACGCATAGACACACATTCTTATATTGTTATATATCAACTCAGTTTACTACTAGGCAGTCACCCCACACAAAAGGAAACATTTTGCAGACAATGGACAATTAACATAACAACTAAGATAATTCTGCAAAAGAACAATCTACAAAAATGCAATTTTGAAGTGTAATACCAGTAGTATAGTAAATGTTTTCAGCTGTGCTAATCCAGTAGGTTGTAAACTTTTAATGTTTTTCAAAAGTTTTAAAGGACTTTTTTGCAGATTGTGCTTTATGATATCAAATACCTGTCGAGCAAGTTGGAGGATATTGTAAAATATTAGGATTGTTCTGAAATATCATTTCAGATTTTTTTTTCTGGATTATTGGTATAAGACAGAATCTTACTAGTTTAACTTCCCCAAAAAATATTCAGATCATGGTAAAAAATCAAGCGATTTCTGAAAACCCCAAAATAGATAACAAAAAAGCATGTCTTAACTGCCTAATCTGGGACAAATGGTGTTTACATTATATCATATGGTATTATTATATACATTTATAACTTTTATACATCATATACATTATAACATTTATAAAGGCCTTATGTAGTGTTTCTGGATTGTTTCCAAACAACAAACCTGTGATGTGGATTGGGAAGAGACTGATGTGACTAGCCCAAAATCACCAGCTAGATCTTATGCTGATGAATTTGAGCTCATTCTTTTTAATGCAACATTTTAACAAGTACAGTAAAGTAGCTCTTTCAAACTTCCATAATTTGCAAACTATCTTAAAACTTACTGTTTATATCCTTTGCTCTAACATACATTAATTTTTTATCAGATGTTTTTTTTCTTCCATTCAACGGTGTCTGATTCTCAGACTACTTGGAAATCTGCAGTTTTCTTGGCAAGGTTTTTCAGAAATGGTTTGCCTTTGCCTCCTTCCAAGGGCTGAGGAAAAAAAATGATTGGCCCAAGTCAACCAGCTGGCTATGTGCTTAAGACATCTCCAGGTTTCTATCCTAATGCCATAACCACTACATCAAACTGGCTCTCAAGCTGGTTCCAACTAGTTGTAATATAAAGGTAAAGGTTCCCCTTGCACATATATGTTAGTCGTTCTCGACTCTAGTGGGTAGTACTCATCTCTCTTACAAAGCTGAAGAGCCAGCGCTATCCAAAGACATCTCTGTGGCCATGTGGCCGGCATGACTAAATACCGAAGGTGGAAACGCTATTACCTTCCCACCAAACGTGGTTCCTATTTTTCTACTTGCATTTTACATGCTTTCGAACTGCAAGATTGGCAGAAGCTGGGACAAGTAACGGGAGCTCACTTTGTATGCAGCGCTAGGGATTCGAGCCACCGAACTGCTGACCTTTCTGTTGTCTTAGCCACTGAGCCACCGCATCCTTTCCAACTACTTAGCAGTTGTCAATTGCTCTATTTCTTTTTTATCCACATAAACTCTTATCAATCTAAGGTCTATATTGCAGATAATATATTTTAGAAACAATACATGCAATTTTAAAAATTGATAGTACAATCCTAAATCCCACTGATACAAATGGATCTTTTTTTCCCAGAGACAAAATATTTCATGACACCATGACATAAATATTGCGGAGTTTCAGATATTTGTTTCATGGTATTAATGTTTTTTACTGACGAAATAGGGCTCTACTGAGCCTGACGCATCATCGTTCAAACAGAGCCAAGAAGTCAAACATAAAGTTTCATCACAGACAAATGAGCATAGGAAATATTCGTCTTTTAACCAAGACTGCTGTATTTATGCAGAACACTTCACTTTCCGCCACCCTGTGATAGCCCTGAGTTTTGCAGCAAACGATAAAAACAATATAAATACAGAACGATGTCGCCTGAAATTAAAAATTATAATAATAATTATTATTATAATAACAACCGTCTTTTAAAAAGATGGGGGAGACAAACAAAACAAGGGACAGGCGAATCTGAGGACCACATCAGGCGGCATTATAAAAGAGGGATTCAATTGCCAAACGGGTGGACAACGAGTCTCTTTAGCGGGTGATCTTTTTTCAAGTTGTTTTTTTTTAAAAAAGCGCAGATGCCTGCGCAGGCGCGTATGCGTCGCAATTATGACGTAAGCGGAAATGGGCGAGGCCGTTTGGAATTTTGGCGCGAGCGCGGAGCGTTGGGTTCCCTTCTCGGAAGCTTGGCGCGCTCCTCAGAGGAGGAGAGGAAGAGGAGGAAGTGTGGGGCGCTGAGAGAAAAAAGCCGGGATTGCTGCGTCTGGGAACTCCCGGAGAATCCGAGCTCTTGAACTTCTTTCGTGACTCCGAGGGGATTGGGACGGAGGAAGAGTTGAGAGAGGTAGGAGAGTCCCCGAAGTTTTTTCCAAGGGAAGAGAGGTAGTTGGTGGAACCGACTAAGCTATTGAGGAAAGGGTGCAAACAACCCAGCCAGATACTCTTTGGAGAAGGTGTAGTCGGTCGCTGTTGTTGTGAAGGGGAGTGGAGCAGGACGACCCTACTGCCTCAAATTTTAGGCTGCTTTGTTAGCATTTTAAAGACAATATTAGTACATTTGGTGTGTGTGTTTGTGTGTATGTATAGGTGTGAATATGTGTGTGTGACAATAATGGTTACTTTATCTTATTTAACTTGACTGTCTTGGCTAATCTTCAATGTGTAAGAAAGCATGTTTTTCTTTTCTTTTACCCAACGTAATTTCTTTTGGTATGGGAGAACTTGCCTTTTCAGCAACCACAAATAGAAAGCATATTTTCAAAGTCCTTGAATACACTTGCAACTTTCAAAGAAAGATATTAATCTACTTGGTGAAAAATAATGTAACCCATACATTTGTCACTTGTGAAATGTTATCTAGAATCAATGTTTTCCATTGTTCAAACTTCCCATGCAATCAGTATATTTTACTGACTGATCATTTATTTATTGACTTATCGCTGACACCCCACACAAGTAAAGGTTTTTTTCTCCCAAATTCAGGGAATTGGTCTTCAGCTCCATACACATTTGGTTTTGTCAGTTTTGAGGCAAAACCCAGCTTCAAATCTCCCCTTGGTCAAGAAAAACCCATAAGTGGCTTTAGGCCAATAATTGCCTCATTACAACCTTTCCCTTGGGCTTGTTATGAGGTAAAAAATGGTGCAAATAGTAGTTATATGCCTTGAACTAGAGGAAAAAAAGGACAAAATAAATGGGACTGCAGCTTATCCACTCTACCTATATAAATAATGCCACTCTAATAAGGTATGTGTTCAGTTCCAATTGTATCAAGTATAGCCACAATCAGGTTGACTCCAGATGACAGGAACTGGAGGCTTACTCCGGCTTTAGGAATTCAACTTATAATATAGGTTATACTATCTATGTTTTCTCTTGTGTGTTAGATCTTTTCAATTTGGTGTCATTCGGACCACTGGATGACACCTTTCACTATTCCCAGTTAATTGACAAATAGCTAGGATGAAGTAATGTTTGCCAATACTTCAACAAAAGGAGGCCAGACTGTTGAAAGTTACTATTGGGATATTGTACCTAGCAGAATTTATTTCTTATGTTTTAGCGGATGGCAGCATTTGCTTGTCTTTGGGAAGGCTTGGAAGCTGATCATCCGCTGTTGTATGGGAAGCTTCTAGATAGTACTTGAGTTGGCTAAATTAGAAAATTATTCTTGAAAGAGGCAATAGCCAACCAATTTTGAACTATTACTAAAAATACCGCCAGATTAATGTTCTGTAGTCATCAAGAGTTAAGATTAACTCAAGGGTAACTTTGCTTTTGTGTAATGCAAATTATAAGTGCAATTATCTTTCCAAAGATATTTATAATCTAGATTTAGAATAATAGGAATATTAGAGGAAGAGAAGGCAAATTAAGAATGGCTAGTGGAAAATAGACATTTCAGTTTTGCTTATTTACCTTTAATCACATTAGAGGTTGGGATTAAAGGAAATTAAGATTTCATGGAACATACCGGTAGCTTTGAGAAGGGACTTGCAG